CTGATTTTTACTGTTGTAACAGTTCCCCGCGCTATTACGACATGTGATTAAGGCTATAAACCACGCTTGAAAAGCTATTCAATTAATAAGCATGCCTTATAGCGTTTGTCTTTGAAACTCTGCACTATCCTTGGATCCCTAGTTTTGCACTGTATTTCATTTTTTTGCACTGTATTCCATTTTTTTGCACTGTATTCCATTTTTTTGCACTGTATTCCATTTTTTTGCACTGTATTCCATTTTTTTGCACTGTATTCCATTTTTTTGCACTGTATTCCATTTTTTTACACTGTATTTCATTTTTTACACTGTATACCATTTTTTTGCACTGTATTCCATTTTTTTGAACTGTATTCCATTTTTTTTGCACTGTATTTCTTTTTTTTTGCACTGTATTCCATTTTTTGCACTGTATTCCATTTTTTTGCACTGTATTTCATTTTTTTGCACTGTATTCCATTTTTTTGCACTGTATTTCATTTTTTTGCACTGTATTTCATTTTTTTACACTGTATTTCATTTTTTTACACTGTATTTCATTTTTTTACACTGTATTTCATTTTTTTACACTGTATTTCATTTTTTTATACTGTATTTCATTTTTTTACACTGTATTTCATTTTTTTACACTGTATTTCATTTTTTTGCACTGTATTCCATTTTTTTACACTGTATTTCATTTTTTTACACTGTATTTCATTTTTTTACACTGTATTTCATATTTTTACACTGTATTTCATTTTTTTACACTGTATTTCATTTTTTTGCACTGTATTCCATTTTTTTACACTGTATTTCATTTTTTTGCACTGTATTCCATTTTTTTACACTGTATTTCATTTTTTTACACTGTATTTCATTTTTTTACACTGTATTTCATTTTTTTGCACTGTATTCCATTTTTTTACACTGTATTTCATTTTTTTACACTGTATTTCATTTTTTTACACTGTATTTCATTTTTTTACACTGTATTTCATTTTTTTACACTGTATTTCATTTTTTTACACTGTATTTCATTTTTTTACACTGTATTTCATTTTTTTACACTGTATTTCATTTTTTTGCACTGTATTTCATTTTTTTGCACTGTATTCCATTTTTTTACACTGTATTTCATTTTTTTGCACTGTATTCCATTTTTTTACACTGTATTTCATTTTTTTACACTGTATTTCATTTTTTTGCACTGTATTCCATTTTTTTGCACTGTATTCCATTTTTTTGCACTGTATTCCATTTTTTTACGAAAAAATTGCACTGTTCTTCATGTATATTATTAAGTTTGTAATATTTTTCATGGAAAGATTTTTAAAGAAAGGTATGAGATACGACGCTTTCGAAGTACTTGACGGGTTCGTTGACAAAAATTGAATTATTCAGAAGCATTAAATTCAACGAATTAAATTCGACGGAAATTGGACGTATAATTGAAGCTGAAGGTCTCAGCGTCTTATTTAAATTTCGAAGGCAATATATAAAATTGGATGAAATAAGGTGTCTTCGTGTGAATATTCCATGTTTTTAATTAACAGCTTTACTTTTCAGCTGTAATATCGCTCGTGCATGGTTCAATGATTCATTCTGAATTCACCTTGTCATATTGTACGATATAAAACGCTGTGCAGCAACTGCACGCATGCAATATCCTTGCGATTCGCGATCATAAATGATGAATCACACGGTCACGGAAGAAAGTGATACCTTTTTGATAACGTGCAAAATTGGTGAAAATTCCTATCAGACTCTAAACAGATTTCCTAACGAAGAGTATGAACGCAATAGGATTGCAATGCTTGTTATCGTTTGTATGTTGTTATTCTCAACGATAATACTAAACGGAATCTCGATTATAACAATAAGAAAATCGTCTCAACTTAGAAACAAAGTTTGTTACTTCGTCATCCTCCTTCAAACTATCGTCGATTTAGGCGTTGGTGTTCTAAGTATACCCATTTTTATTTACCATCTACTTTCTCCATTTTTGAGCACTGAAAAATGTACTTTACTGCCTTGGATTCTTGGAACCACATACTTACCTTGTGCAATATCAATAATAACACAATCTGCAATGACTCTGGAAAGATACATAGGCGTGCTGCATCCTTATTACTACGAAACCCAAGTCACAAAGAAACGAATTTTGGCGTATGTGTGCGGAGGTTGTTCTGCTTTCTTTATAACAATATTTTTGTCTCGTGATCGTTCAATACATAGAATTTTCTGGGGAGTAATGATACTTACATTTTTCTGTTTTACTGCATTTGTTTACACAAGAATATATCTTGTGATACGAAAACTAGTTCGTTCCCCAAAAAAGCCAGCCTCGTGCGAAAGTACCGATGCCAATCAAAATGTAACAAAAAGACAAATTTTTCGTGAAAGCCGACACGCAAGATCGTGCTTTGCTGTCGTGGTCTGTTTTGGAATTTTCTTGTTGCCTTTAGTGCTGGTAATGGTCTTATTCAACATCAGCAATACAATGTTCTACATGGAGTATGTACATTGGTCAATCACATCAATGATTTTCAATTCAACCATCAATTCTTTGATTTTCTTTTGGACAAAACCATTGCTCAGAAAAGAAGCTTTTAGGACCCTCAGATTATATTACTCGTGAATTATTTAATACAGGATGTGGAAAGTCCTTGACTCATTTCAAAGAAATAAGTAAATCTCCATAAAATTTAACAAGCTTTTATGCAACCTCGCAAGCCAGGGTCTTTTACCTGCGCGCCGTGCGGTAGTAAAAGACCCTGGCTTGCGAGGTTGGCTTTTATGCACCACTTGTGGGTTCAGCCGAGTGCTGAGGCATTGAAATTCTAACAATATACGTTATTTTAATAGTTTTGGTTTTGGGGGGGACACCCTGTATAACACCTCATTAAATTCTGCCCATTTAATTGGCAGATTATACGAACACATGATATATAAAAAGTTTAATGAACTAAAGATTTCCAACTACAAAAAAGTGGCCGTATGATGGCGACCTAATATTTCAACTGAGCACCCAGACCAGAAGCGCTGAAAAATATGCCCAACTCTCTTTTAGCTCCAAGGGACCGGTCATTAATTACAGGGGAGGGGTTAGATATTTTTGTGCATGGATGTGCAAAGTTTTGTGCAAGTAGTATTTACCCCATCCGTGTAATTTGAAGCACGGAAATATTAAAAATCTACGAATTTCAAAGTAGTTAGTCTACAGTCTAAATTAAAAAGGTTTTTTTTGCTTTAAACTCCAATAATTTTTCATACGTATTGTGATTTTTATGTACCATTTAAAACACGAGCAGGAGTACTGTATCAGATGATATGATATCAGACGCGCATTAATGGCTAGTTTCAAAACCACTTCAAATGTTTTAAATCTATGCTATGATAGTTTTCCAATTTTTCTTGTAAAGCTTTCATTCTGTTTTGTTTTTCGTTTCTTTTTCGGCTGTTTTGTTCGTTCTTTCACCTTAATAGGTAACTGGAATTTTTTATGTCTTGTCAGAACAACAATGGGCTTCTCTGTTACCCCACACCTGTTTTGTTCCCAGGCTATTTTAGCGTAGCCTTTAATGCCCCAGCTTTCTGACCAGGAATTCTTAATGAGCCAGTAAGGCGTCCCTCGTTGTATGCCATAGCCAACTACCAGGACTGTATGGCTGTTGTCGCTGTCGTCTAAAATACGAACGCGAAACTAAAACTAAATTTGTTCAATATATATTGGACAGCTGAATCAGTTCCAAACTGTTAAGCCCTGGACAAACTAGGAAACATTGTTGCGGAAACATTGTTTCCTGCCAATGTTTCGCCATGTTTCCCAGAGTGGGCAAACACTATAGGAAACATTAGTGAGAAACATAGGGAAACATCAAATGTTTCTGAATTTGCTAGGAAACATTTTTGCTTCTCGAGAAGCAAATTTTGTTTCCGCAACAATGTTTCCATGGGTGGGCAAACAGGGAAACATTTGAGGAAACATCACGAATCACAAATGTTTCCGCAACAATGTTTCATAGTTTGCCCAGGGCCTGGACAAACTATAGGATACATTGTTGCAGAAACATTTTTGATTATCGATGTTTCCTCAAATGTTTCCATGTTTGCCCACCCGTGGAAACACTGTTGCGGAAACAAAATTTGGTTCCCGAGAAGCAAAAATGTTTCCTACCAAATTCAGAAACATTTGCTGTTTCCCTATGTTTCTCACTAATGTTTCCTAGTATTTGCCCACTCTGCGAAACATGGCGAAACATTGGTAGGAAACAATGTTTCCGCAACAATGTTTCCTAGTTTGCCCTGGGCTTAAGTCCTGCCATAAACATTTTATCATCTTTATAAACACTTAAACAATCTTACCGCATTTCGGGTCGTCATATATTCCCCATCCATAAAACTTGAACGTCATAGGGCTGGTGTTAATGGAAACCGCAGCTGTGCCATATTTAGCAATGGCGATTTTTAACGCTGTGTTGTTACGTTTGGGGACATAGGCAAAACCATCGATAGTTGCACCTTTTTTCTCGCCGTTTGAATGACACGCTCCTTCCTAAACGAAATAGAAAAACTGAATAGGAGACGTTGTGTGACTCTGTGTGAGGACCCTTGCTACAGGACCAGTTTAGAACTGATAGAGCTATCCAGTATAAATACAGTTAGTTTGGGTTTCCTAGCTCCTATAGTGATACTTGATCAATAAGGGATGATCCTTACTGTACCTCTAGAGAGAACAGTTTAGAACTATCCAGTGTAAATAAAGTTAGTAAATAAAGTTAGTTTAGTATCATTTGACCAACAAGGAATGGCCCATACTGGACCATAAATAGAGTTAGTTTAGACGTTTAGTTTAGGTTTTCCTTCTTTAATAATACTGGATCAATAAGCTATGACCTTTACTAGATCTCTAGAGAGAACAGTTTACAACTGATAGATCTATCCAGTATAAGTAAAGTTAATCTAGTTTAGGATTCCTTAGTAAGTACTAGTAACACCTCGCCAACAAGGACCTCATGGGAGAACAGTTTAAAACTAACAGAGTTGTTCATTATAAATAAAGTTTATAGTTTACGTTTACCTGAGCTAAGTAAGGTCCATAGCTACTTTCAGGTCTCAAGGAATGCAAATAGACCCAGCTGAATGCTTTGCTATACCAGCCTCCTTTGCAACCTTCATTACCAGACCCCCACGAACAATCCATAATCTGCTGCGGTGCTAGAGTAGTCAGATTTCCAGTCTGTCAAAACGATAGAAAATATAATTAAATTTCTGAAAGCACTTATTCATTGATAGCCCTATGTCAGTCCCAAACTATAATGCTAGCTTTTGAATAAGTGTATTTGTCATAGAAAAAAATGGCAAAGTTGAAATTTTGCTCGTCTGTATGGGTCAACAAAGAACATTTGGTAAAGTAATTTGACCATTTGCGTGGTCAGCAATCAATACTTGTGGTATAGCTATTCTACTTTGAGGACAAAGTTTTTCCGAAACATGCAACAAAGGAAAACACAATATCTATACGAGATCGGGTTGCATAAGACTACGAACAAACACGGCTATTAGTAAAACACGGAGCACGGAGCACACGGAGCACGGAGCACGGAGCACACGAAGTACGGAGCAGTAGAAAAACGAAAATCCTTTATAATAAAATACACTGTTTACTATTACAAATTTTTGTTATTATTAACAAAGTTTTTTCGCGTATTAC